GTGACAATAAGTATGCCACGTGATTAATTTTATGATTCGGAAATTTCACACAAATTCGCCTGCACGGTATGCTGCACAAGTGACGCACAAGTGACGCATAGGCAATGCATAGGTGATGTGCACTGTCGTATAAGCGAGGTAAGGAGAACAGCTACCCTGTCACTTATTTTTAGTAATAAATCTCTGCTATGCATAGTAAAGACTAACTTTATTTATTCATATTGGATTCAATTTCAAGGGTATAATTTAATACTTGTAAAATATCAAAACAAAGTATTATAGTAAAACTGAAAATAACGAAATGTAAGAATACAGAATTCGAATATGATTTGCATAGGGGGTTTTTTTTTTTGTGATAAGGATTATATTAATTACGACGTACAACAGAAACCAATATTAAATAATGAGTTATTTACAAATCGCTCGTTTCCGTAAAAAAAATTGGATGTTTAAATCTAAGGTACAATTACATTAATAATCATATTAAATTATTGTCTAATATTAGTTATCTAAATTTGAATGCAAAGAAAAACCAGATTATGATGCCCACGCTAAGGAAACCAATGCTCATAGCAAATGGTAAATAATGAGGTGTTTTTGTGGGTTTTGTTAGATTACATTGTTCAATCAAACTGTTCGTGTTTTTGTAATTTGAACTATTTGAATCCCCTGAATTATCTACAAATGAAAAAATGATAATATATATAGAACAAAATATTAATATAATAACGGCGGGCCATACGGCCTTAAAGGTGTTTTTCTTGTCTGAAGGTTTGCGTTTCAGATGCTTCAAGGATATAATAAAAACAATTACTTTAATGGTAACCTTTCCAAATTAATTATTGAACAATCAATCAAGGAAACACTCACGAATAATGCAGCGCCTGTTAGGCCATAGAAAATCCACGCACTATATTGGGAATAATCGGATAAAATTTTGAAAGGATCTGACGTTATACTGGCACCTACAACTACAATTGTAAACGTGCACCATATGAATTGAGTTATCAAAGCATTCTTAGGAGTATTAAACCTTTCATCATCTTTTCTAAGTTTTTCTGCGCCTATAGGGAAATAGTTTTTTTCGGCGGCCGTTTGAATCACACGCGAACCGCTGAATATTCCGTCAAGTTAGTGCTTTGGAAACCTCTATTTTAATAACAAGAAATTTAAACAAACCTCCAACATAAAGCGCCTATAATTAAGGATCCAAAAATCATAATTGCGTATAGTTAAATATATAATGCATATAATAAATTTAAGATATGGAATCAAATGGGTCGAATTCGGAATTGTTAGGAACCTTACCTAGAGTTCCAAAGGTCGATATTGCCACACAAAAAGATAAAACTCGTCCGAATTGGCGATTCCAAACATATTCTGCGAAATAACCAGCAATGACCTCGTTAAACTCATGCCCGGGGTTTTTGGCATATTTCGATGGAACAACGGAGATAAATGCAATGTTTGCTAGGATGTCTTAAAATAGTTTCAAAATATAATGTACGATATAAAGTACATATACAAGTTATAATCAATATCATAAAAGCGCGCTAATGCTGGATATACAATACTTACAGAGGCATCCCACGATTAGAACGCTAATAACATTGCTGTAAACCAGCCGATTCTCCGGATTTTTGAATTCAGCCAAGGAATCTAAAATATGTATATACAGTGTATACACCGCACGTTATTAGATAGTATAATAATAAAATACAATTCATGACATAAAAATAAAGCTTACAATTCAGATTATTCCACCCATTGTAGCTATAGAGAACCTAATTGACACGATCATTATTAAATGTAAAGCTTTAATTCCTTATTTAAATAAATAAACTATCTTAACACCTACCGATATTAACGATGTTGAAAAAGAGGTGATCGTCAATGTGGTTCCGTCAAAAAAACTCTCCCAATTGTTATAAGGACTCTTTAAATTTACAATTCCTAAGACGGCAATCGTAAAGAGAGTTAATGTCTTGACATATGCAAGTATTTTATTTATCTTATTCGCGAGGGGACTCGAGTAAATATGATACGCCGTGACTATCAGGAGACCTCCCAATGCAATAAACTTTAGAGTCCTAGAAAAACCGATAAAGATTAATTACACATGAAAAAATTTAAGCATATTTCACAGACAATATTACCAAAAGTTCATATCATTCACGCCATTTCTGGGGTTAATCTGCAAGTACCGGGTGCATTCATCTGAAGTAGATAGGGAATACACCAAATACTGTGCGAATGCTTGGCTAACCGCAGCAATTGAGCCAACTCGGATAGCACTAGTAAAAAGTATTATCATCAGAAATTTCAATAGTAAGTAACAATGGTAAATTATGGAAAAAAATACTTACAAAAAAAACATAAAACTAAAGAGGAAACTAAATAGATTCTATTAAAGTTAAGAAATTTTTCTTTATTAATCTTCGTGTTTTACCCTCACAAATGAATAACGACTAAAAAGCATTACAAACATGAGGTTTCGGAAATGAGCTACGCAAGTAGACCAATTCTCCTCCCTATAATAATGAGAAATGAATTAATCTCTCATATGTGTAAACCCTATTATTTACAATTTTACGATAATTACCTGCTCACTAATTCTCGTTCCCAACTAAATAAGTATTTAGATGTTAAGAAAAAATAATGTTAAAATCTCAATAATACCTAATATTAAAGTTTACCTCCGTGTACGAAAGCGATGCGGCTAAGGTGATCACGCCCCCTAGTATCCAGACCATCAATGCCGCGCCGGATGACCCCATTGATTGCCACACGATCCCAGGGGTGACAAAAATGCCTTGATTTAAAAATTTGGTTAGAAATTGAGGAATCTAACATATAGTAATTAGAAAAATCATTCACTAACCACTCCCGATCATATTATTGATGTTCCAGGAGATACCTGAGATAGTGTTACAAATCGTTAGTTGGAAAAGCTATAAATTAGCCGATCCAGAATTTTTCTTTCTTGTAAAGTTGATTGTAAAACAATCAATCGATTAAAAAAATTTCACCAACTAAGAACACTAACCTGAGATGACACCTAATAATCTTGGTTTGGCTACATCGATGCTATTTATCGAAGCATTGTCATCTAATTTATGCATTTTATCCGCGATTCGTATAAGATAAATGAATGAATGAATGAATGTCGAGGAATACTGCGTTTCAAATCTTTCGTACTTTACGTTCCTCACTTCTTCCACACGCATCTATTTATACAAAATTACACATTTGGTGAATCGAAAGAAAGTTACTATTATAATTTAATCCTTTCTGGAATATTAATTCCCAAAACGGTATGTTTTTACACAAACAAAAACAATCTTTCATTTCAGAACATATAAAGAAGACACATGGGTACATAAAATTGATATGCTTCACATTGTGTCTCCAAAATCAATAAAAACATAAGCACAATGGAATTTTCAGGCCGCTATCTTTTCATATGACGTATTCGTAATTAAAAAATTTTTTTCTTATTGGTTTGCATACGTGAAAAATGGTTGTAGAAATCTTATGCACGTGACATTCGTTTTTTGTTTTTTAAAACAAATATATGCAAAATGATAATGGTGCGTGCTGTATTTTTATTTACACAGTATACTGGATATACAGTGTGTTAAAAAAAAAAAATAAAATGTTAAATCTATTTTTACTTATTAAATTAAATAAAACTTTTGAAAATAATCCAAGCCGTACTTAATTTCACCTACAGCATTAGTTAATTATCTTATCATCATTTCAATTTAATATTTAGGTTATTTGACTTTTTTTTTTTTTTCTACTTAAATTCTGTTCATGGCAAAATAGCTTCAATATATATTTTCTCATAGCATTTCCATTTTAAATAAAAGATTTGAAAATGGAAAACCATAAAGAATTAAAATAAGAATAAATCTTTGAGCAATATTCTTATTTATGTAATGTGTTTAAATATAATTGACAGGACATGGCCTGATAATTACTTTTATAATATACGGTAATTTTTTTTTAAATATTCACGTGATATTCTCTAATTAAGTAAAAACATGATACTGCTCTACGATGTGATCAAAATAGCTTATTTATTTTTCATTAACGAAATACAAGGACAATCGAGTGAAATGATAATGGTTTATTAAAAATAATATCTATTGTACATAATATATACAGTATGTGAATAAATGATAAGGTTTTTGATTGCGTGTGTAAAATGTCTAGTATAATGATCATTAGAAAAAAATTTTTTTTAGAGTATGAGATGTTAATATTGAATAATCAACTATCAATTATTTCATGGGTTTTTCCCATCCGTTCGTCCATCCATTTCTTCGTCCGTTCGTCCATCCAGTTCTTCGCCCATTCGTCCATTCATTTGTTCATTCATTTCTTCGCCCATTCGTCCATTCATTTGTTCATCTGTTTGTTCATTCAAAAGGGAATTTTTATCAAAACAATAAAAGAAAAACCAAAATATAAAGCCGATACCCAAAACAGAAAGGCTCGCTACAAATGGTAAATAGTGGGGAGGTTTTGAGGACTTTGTTAGATTACATTGTTGAAAGAAACTATTGTTATCGCTATTGCCAGGGTTATCAGAATTACTAGTATTATCTATAAAGGAAAAAATTAAAATATAAAAAGAACAAAGAATAAATAAAATAACCGCAAGCCACCAGGCATTAAAATGCTTTTCTTTTGAAGGTTCTGATTTCCAAATCTGAGAATTAAAGATTGTTTTCTTTTATTACGAGTGATCGCTGTGAACCTTTTGGAAACTTTGAAGAATAAAAAAGCACTTACAAGCAACCCTATGCCTGTCAAGCAGTAAAAGATCCAGTAACTATACTGAGAGTAGTCGGATAAGAATTTAAAAGGATCCGATGTTACCCAGCCTATAGCCACGATTATAAGCGTACACCCTATGAATTGTAATTTTAAGGTGTTCACCGGAGTGCCATCCTTTTTCATTACTTGAAGCCATTTTCTTCCTATAAGAAAATAACCCATTTTGGCTGTTCTTTGGACTACACGTGACCCACTAAATAATTGTTAATTAGTACTTTATCATTGATTTTTTTTTTTGAGAAATAGAAGTTTCACACTAACCTCCATACCAAAGCGCCTAATGTACCAAATGCTGATACAGCTACGAAAAAAGACAGAGCTTGTCCAAATTGACGGCCCCCAATGTGTTCTGCAAAATAACCAGCAATGACCTCGTTAAAATCGTAACCAGGGTTCTTTGCTTCTTTAGAAGGAACGACCGATATAAAGGCCACGTTCGCTAATATATCTGGGAAATTTTTAAAATATGTTAATTCGGATTACCAACTTGAGCACGATAATCGTAAATATACCTACACAAAACGCTAACAATTGAAACGCTAATGAGATTACTATAAGCCAACCGGGCTTCAGGCCTCCGGAATTCCCCCAACGAGTCTAAAAAATTATTTGTTAAATTCGTTAAATAAAAATTTACACAGTAGATGATGATAAATAAACAAAATAAGACATACAATTTAAATTATTCCAACCGTTGTAACTGAAGAGTACCTAACCAACACAAAATCTTCATTAAACCAAGATTTTTAATTTCATTTAAATAAATCATTTTTACTAACCGAAATTAACGACGTCGAAAAAGAGCCAATAGTTAATGTGGTCCCCTCAAAAAGATTTCCCCAGTTATTGTATGTACTTTTTAAGTTTGCGAGGCCGCAGATGGCGATCGTGAAAAGGGTAATCGTTTTAATACATGCAAGTACATTGTTTATTCTATTGGCTAAATTACTCGAAAGGATGTGATATATCGTGACCAATAGTAAACTTCCTATAGCAGCAATTTTCAAAATCCTAAGCCAAAAATAAAAATAAAAATAAAAATATATCATTTATGTGCTAAAAAAGATTTTAAATACAGTATATCTATAAATATATTTACCAAAAGTTTATATCCTTCCATCCATTTTTGGGATTGACCTGAAGGTAACGAGTACAGTCATCTGAAGTCGAAAGGCTAAATACCAAGTATTGAGCAAACGCTTGTGACACCGCACCAATGCTCCCTACCCTTATAGCACTAATAAAAAGTGTGATTATTGAAGATTGGAACATTTGGCATTTATCGGTAATCACATAATATTACTTACAAAAGAAACATAAAGCTAAAAAGGAAACTGAATAAGTTCTGTTGAAATTAAAGTATTTATGAGTCTTGGCTTTTACTCTGACAAAAAAAAACAATCAATCAAGTGTCACAAACGTGAGGTCTTGGAATGGTTTTGCGTAAATAGGCTAATTCGCCTCCCTGTAAAAAATATTATTAATTTAATTCTATGCATACTTTAATTTACCAATAATTTTATGAATAATTACCTGTTCGCTTATCCTCGTCCCCAACTAAACAAATATTGAAATATATATATTTTTAAAAAAACTTAGATTATGATTCATATATCAATATTAACTCTAATGTTTCAAAAGCTTACCTCTGTGTAAGATAAAGAAGCAGAGAGGGTAATCACTGCTCCCCCTATCCAAAGCATTAGGGCTGCGCCTGGGGAGCCCATGGATTGCCACACGATTCCTGGGGTAACAAAGATACCTGAAAATTTCAAAATTTCATACATTCAATTAGAATCTGGAATTTGTACAAAAACAATTCAGAGAATCGAATTTACTAATTTACTAACCACTCCCAATCATGTTATTTACATTCCAGCATATACCACTGAACACGCCCAAGAGGCGGTCATCGGTATTCTCACTCATACTCTATCAACTTTTTTAAAATTGAAAAAGCGTTTAATAAAGTCAATGATTATTTAACGTAAAAGGGAAAGGTCAATTATTGGCACGTTAAGAAGAAATTCCGTATTATATATTTTTTACGTAGACAAAGGTCCAAACAATATCCTAAGGTAAGTCGTACTTGAGCAACATGCCTTGTCGATGCTGCTGCTTACACAAATTCGATAGGGAAATCTTAGAATGCGTGTGAAATGACATAATGTATGCAATTTGGAAATTCCGCTCAATGAACATGTGTGCAAAAAATGAATTAAATTTCGATCAAGCTAGAGATAATCTAGACATAATAATAAAAAGAAATGTCATATTGGGTATGCATAAAAGTAATAACGTAATGATATGCACGCACATACGTACGTATTACCTTGCCGATTCATACCTTCAGGAAAATAACAAAGGTAAAAATACCAAAAAAACATGATCATACGTTAAAAAAGCCAATTCAATCGTTTATAAGTTCCATTGAAATGTCCAAGTTTCTTAAACTGGTTAAATTGATGCTCACAATGATTTGCGTACATTTAAGAAAACGTTGGATTAATGAAAAGACCATTTTGGAAAAATAGTAACTCTAGGCTGCATAATAGGCAAATCCTATTTTGTCGAAGATTCCATTGTTATAAGACCAGATGATTTTGTTTGATGAATGGAATAATATGCATGCTAGTTAGAGGATTTGCATTTGACTGTCCATTTAGATTACACAGCTGGACAATCTAAACGTATTGGTTTGTTCTTTCCTTTGACACCTTTGGATGTTCTTCATTGGCCTACGCAATCGAACTACAAAACAGTTGAATTAAATAAATAAACTTCTAATGCGACAAATAAATAGTCTAATTAATTGTTTTTTATTTTGTGACAAATTTTAATTTTATTTAAACTAAATAAACTTAAAATAAACAAAAATATATGTACAGTATACACAGTCTGTTGCATCTAATGTTTAAAACTTTTTATTAAAAAAACTAATCATTGATCATATTGATTTAAACCCCCTTTTTTTTTGAACACGGTAATAATTTTAGATTTAAAAAAGATCTTATCAATCAATTTTATTGACAAATAAAAAATTCGAAAATTCAATATTACATAAAATTTTTTAAGAAATTACACATTTAAGTACAATATGATATACTGTAAATATTGATGTTGATTTTTTTATAATTATATTCTAATTTCTAACTTAATTAATAATTATTTTTATATTTAAAATCTTTTATACTGTATATACAATATGCTAGTTGAAAATAATTTATTTGACATAATGTAAAAAAAAAATATGAAATATAACAAGTTCATCAAAATTAGTATTTACTTTTTAAAAACATCTGTATCATTAAAAACTAAGTACTTTTAATAAAGTGAATATAATCAATTATTACTCAAATACAAATAATTAATTAATTAAAATAAAATTGATTACTTTTTTAAATTTATATTATTTGAATTATTTGTTGTTTTATTAAATAAGAAATATGAAAAATATGAAAAATATGAAAAATTCAAAATATATAATACTTGTTAATTAAAAAAAATTCAAAAGTATTATAAAATATTAAAAAGAAATTAATTAATATAATAATAACAAGTGGCTAAGATAATTAAAATTGATTTTTATAATAATATTTTATATTATTTCTTTTATAATAAACAAATTTTAATCCAATATGAGAATATATCTATGAAATATTTAAATAAATATACAATTAAGTAAAAAGTAAATTAAATAAATTATTATTATTATTAGTTAATAAATAATATTAACTTTACTCATATAGAAAATATATATAATATATAATAATATAAATAGTTTATATTTAGAAAATACTTAATATATAGCTTAAGTATTAATTATTAATAAAAAATATATTTTATTTTACAATTAATATCTCACTAGATAACTCTTTCCGCTGATCCTTTTGCCAACCCAAAAAACAGATGTTCTCAAAAAACTTTTTGTTTTTATGATAATAAAG